GACGCTGTTTCCGAGGCAATCTCGTTCGATTCCGGTGAAAAGGTGCTAAGCTTTCGTCCGTCAAATGACGGACATCATCAGAGCGAGGCCAAAAAAAGACGTTCCAGTAAAGCCAATCGACAGCTGGTCAAGAGGAATTCGCCGTCGTCTTCCGGTGGAACCGACCTTTGAATCTCTTCACCGCACACTTTTACTCGAAATGGAAGTAATCCGAACAATTAAGTTACTGAAGCAATGGTAGTTGACTTTTCCCATAATCAGTTGAGTAGACTTTGCTTTTTCTTTAATTTGGCATGGCCTCACCTTCAAAAATGGAGTTCTCATTTGGGCTGGAGTGGACTGGAGCTTCGACTTGGCTTTAACTGACCTCATCAGCGCCCACATGCGGGGCTTGAACCATGACAGTACGGCGCTTAATCTCGACACGTCAACTGCTACGCCACATGTTCACGAGTGCCAATGAGTCACGGGGCAGATATGCACTTCAAGTGAGGTCAGGTCTGTTGCCCTACCACATTCTGTCGTATTTGCCGTAAAAATCGACTACATTACTTATTTTTGGTTGATCAGTAGGCTTTCGAGAATACCAACACATCGTATGCATGGGATGTATTTATCATATTTTCTCTAGAGCGATAAGGGGGCTGATAGTCTCATTTGCTCACAATTCGACGAGTAGACTATTGGATTTTACTGTCATGGTTCGAGTCCCGCTGTGGGTGCTCAAGAGGTCAGTTGGGACGAGTTCAAACTGCAATCTTCTCCTGCCTGGAGGGGAGTGGAAACCTCATGTCTACCCGTCAGATTGTGGGGAAATTGAGCCATCAGCCCCCACATCACTCTCAACTAAATTGGAGGAATGCATCTAATGCATATGATCTGCTGGTGGTCTCGAAAGGATAAGTGAAAAGGTGTGTTTCAGAAGATGGCTCAACTCGATTGCCACAACTTGCCACTTTGATGCCCCGTTGCTCGACGCTAATGCGAGCGCCTCTCGCTGGCCATGCCGACTGAAAATTCCGGCCAAACGTCTGGGACTTTTACACATCAGCGGCCTGTTGTTGGCGGTTGTCATGCCTACTCGAGGGCAGATTGGACAGAATTGA